ATTATTTAATTATATATGTTTATATCGTTAGTTTTTATGATCGGAATAGAAGCTATAATTAATTATTTTACTAATTATTTATTAATAAAATTATTATTATTTATTACTTATTTTTTATTATATTAATTATTTTATTATTTTATTTTTATTTTATCACGAATGACAAGGGTCATTATTTATCTGTCGTTGATGATGGTACAGAACAGCTTTGAACGGTCTCTATCGGTCAGTACTATTAATACCGACAGTTGTCGATAAACGTGTAGGGAATAGGGCCTTTTCTTTAGATACTGAAAATTCTAGATGGTACAAGTAACACGAACAAACCTATAATGTGATTATGGTAACTAAAACGAACAGACGTTTTAGAACGTAGCGCGTAGGTCTGTTCTTTTCAGCTAAACTTACACAATTCATCTTTTCTCCTTTTCTCTCCATATTGGAGAGAAAAGAAAGAAAGATGATGAGTCGTGCGAGAAATTCAGCTAAAAAGAACAGGCCTAGCTCAAGCTGTTTATAACTCGTATGATGATGTCTCGACGGAATATGTATACGAGCGTGATACAAACTTCGTTAGTACGTTTTAACTACTCGGGGTGTGTTGGTCCGTGTCTTTTGGGCATCCGTTGTTCTTAACGAGTGCACGAATCAAAATTCGCATAGAGAATCGCGGTGGTGTTTCTTATGAGCGTAACGAACGGTCCGCGACACGAATTATGGCGAAAGATGAAGGGGACGACGTGTTGCCGGACAAGGACGCGGCGAAAGGATTCTACGCCAAGTATGAACCCAAAGAGATCCTGGGCAGGTGCGTCCTTTCACACTTCGTAGGAGTTCAACAAGTTTCCTATCGTTAAGTTCGACTCGTGTCTAAATTGATAATGAGTACTATTACATTTGTATTCTTGTGGCGCCAGCGATCACGATAAACGAGTACATACGTTTACTACGGAACATCCTTCAAAGTTGATTGACAATGACATTACATAATTAAAAGAAATTTCAATAAGTTTTCGTATAGATCAAAAATACTGATTGTTATTTCGGTAAGTTGGAATTTAATCTTTGTGAGTGGATATTTCAGGGGGATATCTTCTACTGTGAGAAGATGCATAGAGAAAGAGACAGGTATAGAGTATGCAGCTAAAATTATAGACATCAGCAATGAAATCAATGAGGATGGGCACACCATGAAGGATGCTACGCTGCAAGAAGTACAAATACTTCGTAGAGTAGCTGGACATCCTTACATTAGTAAATTTTCTATTCTTTGTTCTTTTCTAAAAATATTACAAATTACATGCTCTATTAATTTATTCCTAAAACATTTTTATATTGAATTTTATACTGAATGAAGCAAAAATTGGTGGTTATTTTTTCATTTTCAGTTGAACTGCACGATGTTTTTGAATCTAGTACATTTATATTTTTAATTTTTGAATTATGCAAGAATGGAGAGTTATTCGATTATCTTACGTCGGTTGTGACACTTTCTGAAAAGAAGACACGTTATATCATGAGACAAGTATTTGAAGGGATTCAACATGTACATAACCAAGGGATAGTACACAGAGATTTGAAACCTGAAAATATATTGCTCGATGATAACTTGAACGTAAAGATAACAGACTTTGGGTTTGTCGAGAATATTGAGCCTGGTGATAAATTAGAAGGTTGTATTACTTTTTAAATTATGTATGTATGTATGTGTGTGTGTGTGTGTGTGTGTGTGTGTGTGTGTGTGTGTGTAAATATATATTTCCATTTTTAGAAGATTAAATTTTTCATATATTTTTACAGATCTTTGTGGAACACCTGGTTATCTAGCACCAGAAGTATTAAAGTGTAATATGTTTGAGAATGCTGAAGGTTATGGATTTGAAGTTGATATGTAAGATTTTTTCATACTGAATTATAAAAATACATATATATATATATGAGTGCAGATATGCATATAATATTCAATACTTCACGAGATTTGTTTTTTATAACTAAACTATCGTATATTGGATGCTTTCCATTTAATGGACACAAGTCGATACAACTATCATTTTGTCCTTGTTAATCATTGAATGCCAAGAAAGAACGATACTTGTGTCGACTTTTATCATTAAATGGAAAGCATCTATTCATATTTGAAATGAAATAGATTGTCAAATTTCAAATATATATTTGAATATATATTTGAAATTTGACAAAAACAAAAAAGAAAGTTTTTTTTAGTACGATCCTTTGAACAGGCCTATGAACATTGTAAACACATGCATGTATGCATGTGTATATGCATATACACTAATAAATAAAAATATATAAATAGAAACAAATTTGATCACTTGAATTAATATGATATACCAAATTAATACATTAAAAAAGTATTACAAGAGTGAGAAATATATATATATACACACATAGTAGTACATGAGCTTTTTGATGATGAAATCATTAATGCATATTTTCTGCTAAATGACATGACAAAATTATCATTATTGAATATCTGTATAATTGTTAAATGTTTATATATTTTTACATTTCATTAACTTGATGTATATAATTTATAATGTATATTAATTGACATAGTATGAGTGATCAAATTAACTACTTATTAAAAGATTCTATTATATTTTTCATTTTTACTTATGATGTAATAGATGGGCTTGTGGCGTGATTATGTTTACACTATTAGTTGGCTGTCCTCCATTTTGGCATCGGAAGCAAATGGTCATGCTTAGAAATATAATGGAGGGAAATTATTCATTTACATCTCCTGAATGGGCTGACATAACAGGTAAAAATTATGATTGAAGAAAAATTATATTTTAATGAAATAATGACTTTTTAGAAAATGAATAAAATATTATAATGAATGTATTTTAGAGGCTCCAAAAGATTTAATAAGAAAGTTATTGGTTGTTGATCCTAAGAGAAGAATTTCTATAAAGGATGCATTGGAACATTCATTTTTCCATACTGTTGTAAGTACAGATAAACAAAAACATAAAATGTACCTTATTCGTAACTTCTAATTTAAAATGACAATAGCTTAATTCATAAAAAGATCCTTTTTCAAATAACTAATATTTTATGCACATCATGTTTCATAAAAGCACCAATAATTTGCTTTGTTTCTGTTTACCATTTTCAATTCAAAGTATACTTCAAAGTACTTATACTTCAAAGTATACTTATCATAAATATACATATAGAATGTTCTAGGATGAGTTAGGTTATTTTTAAATAAATTTGTTTTGCTTGCTTTTATAAGAAAAGCGCTTACAAGTAGCATTAGCATTTTTCAACTTAGTTTTCTGAAACATTTGTACAGCAATTAATTATTAATTGTTAATATAATAAATATGTTATCATTTCTCGTTTACATTCATTTTCTTAAACTACATTCCAAAATGTTCTTTCCAAGGAAAATTTTATTCAAAACATATAGTATGTATAATGTATTATATTATATTGAGTACAATTTTCCTTGAAGAGGATGTTTTGACAATCCTTCAACACTGATAATATGAAAGCAAGCAAAACTTGAGCTAAGAAGAAAGAAATATGTTTCATTTTGAATGGTTTCTAAAATAGTTATTTAAGTGAATGGTAAAAATATAAAATAAAGAAATATTACCGTTAGAACTTGTTTCTCATTTAATATTTAAATGACAAATTTGTTGTAGTTTAGAGCAAGATAAGATTTTAAAAATTTTATGTTCAATGCATTATGCAATTTATATGAAAAAATATATTGAATACATGATACATTGCTTAATGAGAAATAATTTTTACACATTTTTAAGATCCAATATGCAGACAAACAATTTTTCTTATATATCTATTTTTGTTAAATTTATTTTTGTATTTAATTTTATAAACAAAATTACGTATATATTATCAGTAAAAATAGTATTTTGTATCAAATTTAAATAACATTATTTGGAATAGAATATATTATATGAATTTTTTTTTTATTATCTATTTATGCAATAATCTTCTAATTTTTTCCTTTATCATACATAAATATCTGTATGAATACTTAACATATAACATACACAGCAAAAAGCAAAGTAAATACACATACTTATAAATATTTGTGTTTTGCTATTGTATAATATAAATATGGGGATTATGGACACACATATTATACTATTTTCTGCTTAGTTATCTTTTATTGTTTTTATTTTTAGTCAATGTATTTTATTACTAGTATTGTTTTTATTTATAATATTTTTTTGCAGTAATTAGGATTGTCGTTTAAGACATTATATGATTATAAATTATTGACCTTACAGCTGTGGGATCAAGACATCGCTCCTCTAAAACGTTCTTTGTCGTCTAATTCGCGACGTCTGAGTAGGATATCTCAATTAGCTTTGGTAAATTTGATTATTTTTATTTTGAGATTTGTATTTGTTATATACAATATTTTTAATATTATGATAAAAATATGCTGTAATTATTATTGCTACATAATTCAGTGATTATTATTGTTGTTTTCATGTAATTAACATTTATTTGTTTTAATTGACATTCATTCTTTGATAATATTTTACACCAATAGAAATATCTATAATTGAAAATCAGTAGAAATTAGTGTTGCTTTCGGATATAAATTGTTTCAATATTTTGGATGTATTGAATTATAGATACAAATATTTATCATAATAGTATGTCTGTTTTTGTTTAATAAAATACTTTAATATATTTATATACATCCGTAATTTCTTGAGTTTGCATTTTTATTCAAATATATAGAATATTACTCATTTTGAAAAAAATATAATATTTAATAAAAAAAGGTTAAAAAAAGGAAATGTTAAATCTAAAAGAGTTAATATTGTCAGAGATAAAGATGATTTTCTATTTTGATAATGTAAATATCTTATTTTTCGTTTATCTAATATTATTTTTAAATCGAGTAGCACCTTAATTATAACATAATATTCTCTTTAGTGTCCACAAAAGATCTTCTCATAATTCTTCCTTCATTTCTATACTTTGTATTTTTGTATCAAAACATTGTTTTCTGTTGAAAATGTTTGGTTTTTTTCGAATTCATAAATTATTTACTGTTGTGGTTCCATAAAGAAAGTCTTTGTAATTAATCGATTCGAATTTTCTGGATTTTTATGAGATTATGTAAAAAATGTAATATTTTGTGTACTGAAATAATATTGAGTTATAATTACGAATAGAAATTGTTTACAAATTTATTTGAAAAGAAATATTTTCGAAAGCGCTCGCGAATCTTTGATACAAAAATATCAAGTGATTGCATCTTTACACAAGAATCTATTAACAATTGACACCTTTATTTCCGCAGAATTGGCTTTTCAAACTAAATTTACTAAATATTGTTTATTTAAGGTTCCTGAGTACTCAGCTAAGAACTTCGGCACAGCGTCGCGATAAAAATTAGAAGCTTATTCATCCTTGCTCATCTTATCATTGCCCATTGAGTCGATCATGTAAGATTTTGCGGGATCAATTCGGGATGTAACTCTCTCAAACGTGAAATTTTTCACGTGAACTTTTTCGCCATGTGGCCTTGGTGGTGAAAAGGTGGAAAGCTAGGAAATTAATAAATATGCTTCGGAATTAGAGAAGATTAGGGTTGCGTTAGGATTAAGTGTACGTAGTATATATACAATTGATTATTAAAAAATATATATAATACTGTACCAATAAAATAATTTTCATTAGCTATAAAACTATGAAATTATGTTTCATGATTTCACTTTCCACGCATCCAAGCTACATACATAATTGCTGTACGTGAAAAGTTCACGTGAAATGTCAAGGTGTGAAAAATGAAAAATAAAAAGTGAAAAGTGAAAAATTTCACGTAAAGTTACATGATTGACTCTCAGAATCAGGTAGAAGGGGAACTGCACAAAGAAGAAACATGTACATGTGTGCCCACATGATTCCCTTTTTGTATGCAGTTCCCCTCTTCTATCTGATTTTCGGCAAATCGAGACCTCATTCTGGCACATGGTCACAATTCTAATAAGGCCGACTACCCAGGAGTCTTAATTTTCTCTCAAAATGATATAACTTTTTCTTTTAACATCTTATACATTTATAATTATTTAAGTTGTTTATGTTGTATTTTCACATAACAATCTGTTATCAATATTAAAAATGTATAGTTGAACATACATGTGTGTTTGTTAACATTAACACTTTTTTTAACATTAACGCTATTTTTAACGCTAATTTAAGCATAGATATAGATCTTGGAGATAAACTCATATTATATTTACTGGAAATTGTCTGTTTAAGGCTTGATTCTTTCGTCACAACCATATTGGTTTATGATATCATAGGGGACAAAATGATATGCAATAAATTAATTGTAAATACGTACAGCTTTATCTTTTAATCTTAAAAATATAAACATTTCTCGCCATATTATATCATCGTAAAACCGATATAGCTGCCCGAAAAAGCCAAGTCTTAAGTTAAGAAGGATAGAGAGCTATTTAAGTATTCACAATTTTTTTTTTAATAGGTCTTAAATGAATAGTCTTGCTAGACCAGTATAATTTTATTGACTTCTTTCTATTTATAATAGAAAGAAAATATGGCTGTTTAAAATATTGCTCTCTGTTTCATTTCGTTACTGTGTATAATTCGCTTAGAAATAATCACTGACAAATACTATTAAGACTATTAATTTATTCACTATGAACATCCAAATTGATAATGTCAAAAAGTAAAAAACATATAATGAAAATTTTTACAAAATATAAAATAAAATAAAAATGTTATTTTGTCGAAAAATATTTTAATATATTTTACAAGAGTTTTCTCGTTTCTGATATAAATAATTCATGATTACAAAAGATGAATTAGCAGGAACTTTAAAGATCATCCATTCTAAGCAAATTTCTGTAAGAACCAAAGAAACCCCAGAAAGCTTGATTGACGTGAAAAATATTGATCTTATTGATTATTGATAAATTTCTGATCATTTATATATTTAAATAATGCATTATTAAATTCATGATTTTTTATTATATGAATATTTCATATAAATAAGTATGTTATAATATCATGTATATATTGCTACTAAATTACAGTATTTTTCTACTTTCTTATAATCTCTATGAATAGTAATTGTAATGAAAATGTAATTTTTAAACAAAATTGTATATTACTGCTATATATATGTACATGGAATATCAATCTAAGGAATATCAGAATAATAATAAATTATTAAATTAATTATAAGCTAATTATTGAGATTTTAATAGTTGTGTTCTATAAAATTATATTAGTCTTTAATAGTACTTTGTCTGTGTGAAGCAGTTTATCTTTCATAGATTTAGAGATCTAAGTGTTAATATTTAATTTCATTATATAACAAAGAGATCTTTATCTTTTATTATATTTAGCGAATCGTAATAACCATTTTAATAATTTCAATATTAATATAAAAAGCTTACTATTTTTGTTAAATGATGTTTAATGATGAAATTGATGAAGTTTTATTATAGTTTCATATTCATTGCGTAGGAATTGAAGGCGAAATCGTTTAATGCAAGAAAGAGATTCCAACTAGCAATTATTTGTGTGAGAGCTGTTATTCGTATCAAACGGCTTCATATCACACCTGAACCACTTTCGACACAAGTAGCTTGTACCGACCCGTATAGAATAAAGATCCTGCGAAAGGTAAAATGTTTTTATATTATAAAAAGCTTGTCTGTATTGTACGAAAAATTAGTGAATATGACCGCAATATGATATTATGGAATATATAATAGTTGTAAAGAAAAATATTGGTAGAATTTTATATATTTGCTAAGAGCATTCTTGATAATTATTTTCAGGTAATTGACGGCTGCGCGTTTCGTGTTTACGGTCATTGGGTTAAAAAGGGAGAAGGTCAGAATCGCGCTGCGCTTTTTGAAAACACATCAAAGACAGAATTGAAGCATCTATATGTTAGTAATTTAAGTAGATAACTATTGTTTTGTTAAATTACTCTAGTTAAATTTATTATTATTAGAATCTCCGATGAGCCTAATTGAATATGTTTCAGAGACAGATATAATTGTAACACGTTTAAAACAGAAATATTTTCTAAGATTGAAGTACAATGGCTATACAGTACTCGAGTTGATTAGAATTTTGCCGAAATTAATATCTTTCTAAGATTGTCTGTAAATGCTTTGACGTTTATATAAAATTGGATTAAAATAGGATTTAAAATTAAAATTAAAATAGGAAAAAATTTGTATGAAGTATTTAAATTTTAAATCAGAAAATGAAATATTTTCTGATATTTTTAAATATGTTACAAGTTTTATAATGTGACAATATATGTCTCTATCATATGTGATAATATGGTAGAGTAACTATTTTGCTAAAAGTTATTAAGTCTTTCATTTTGTTCACTTAAAAAAACAAAGCAATATTAATAATATATTTAATTATAAAAAAAGATGTACTTCTTTAAACAACTACAGTGTTTTATAACATATATAATATAGACTGTACATGTTAATGTTCGCAAAATATAAAAATATTCCATGTTAGTATATGTAAAGATACATTTTTAGAGAGAAGAAAAGATTTTTTTTTTAGATTAATCCTTATTAGAAAATATATTGCATGTAAAATCTAGTCACAACTTTTGTACAAATAAATCTGTCTTAAAGCACAAATTATAGATTGACATATTTCTATAAGAAACTAATATATAAATCAAATTATTCAAGATCTTTAACACATATTTAATGCTTTAGATTGAATTAGATATTAGATTATATCATTGATTTAAAAAAAATCAAGAAACGAATTTATCTAAAATTACACTGCATGAATATTCAAAGAGATAATCCAAATTATAAAATTAATACTTGTTTCATTATTTAAGAAAAAATGATTTTGTTATAAATTCTGTCATACTTACATGTGCTATATACAAAATTCATCATACAAGTATACACAATCAACATATCATTAATAAGAAAAAAATAAGTTTATTTGGAATGTTCACTAGTTGGAGAAGAGTAAAAAAACGTATCTGTACTCTCTTTTCTGATTTAAAAAGTGTACTCCTCAAAAGAGTACATCTAATAATTATAACGACATGAAATAATAAGAGTAATATAAATTATATAATAAAATGATGGAATAAATCTCAGAAAAAATTAATGTGAATTATGTATCTAATTTACTTAAAGATTGTTTAGTGAGCATAGGAATAAATGAATATTGAACCAAAGATAAATTTATAAAATTAATTACTTTTGCTGATCATGTTACCCTTACTATACTAGAAACTTATTATATTAGAAATAGATATGTATATGTATATAATTAAACATACATAAGACAGAAAAGAAGGATAAATATATAAAATTTAGTTGCAAAGAATCAATATTTCTCATGTATAAATCGTTTTCAGACTTAAATTTTTTTCAAAATTGCAAATTATCAATTAACGTCTTGTAAAAAATCGAGAAAAAAATGTGATGCGAATATATCTCTGGCAGCTGTGGCAGCGGTCACCTCGTGCCCCCTCTCTCGGTTCGGTATCCCACAGCCTCTCACGACCTCGTGGGCGCGTAGCGCGCGCGCACTGGCGAAAGTAAACAATAGAACGTAGCCCCGTCCGGCAAATGGGTAGAAGCGGCAACAACGCGCGCTCGTGCTCACGCTCGCGCGCCGCGTCGATCCATGTGACAGAGAAGGGACGTGACAAAAGGTGGCGGAGGGTGACGCCGCCACCGCCGCGATCGGAGCGCGAGTGTTTGCCCGGGCGAGCCGGGTGTCGGGTGTGCTTTGCGTGTCGTTCCTTCGCGGTATCCGCGTACGTGCTCGAGCGCCCGTACGCCTCCGATGTCGCGCAACGTGCAGTAAAGGAGAACGCCGATGTGCGACGCCCCGCGTTCGCGGTGAGGTAAATACGATGCTCAGAAAGGAATGGCTAGCATGAAGTGCGTGAGTTTAACGAGTGACTACCGATACACACGATTAGAACGACAATAATGACGACGACGACGACAACGACGACGATGATAATGACGACGATGACGATGACGATGACAATGACCATGATGACCGCGATGATGATGATGGTGATGTGATAATGATAACGATAATAATAATAATGAAGATGATGATGATGACGACTATGATGACCACGACAGCGACGGCGACGATGACGATAGTGACGACGACGACGACGACGACGACGACGACGGTGGTGACGGCGACGACCAATCGACGGAGCGAGTGAACTCGCGAGGACAAGCGTTTTGCGAGACTTGTCTCACGCCCAGCGGGACTGCTGCGTCACATGGGCCGCGTTCATTCGTCGATACAGCCGGCTGACGTCACGAGCCGCGCGACGATTGGGCCGCGCCACGGTGCCCGGACACGTGAATCGTGGCCGAGCAAGCATGGCAGTTTGATGCGCAGTGGTTTTCAGTACTTGTAAAATGCCACCGCCACGCGCCAGATCGATCAGGTTATAACCCGCGTTTCGCCGCGCGCTCCGAAACGGTCGGCTCGTCGCGCGGTCGTGCTTACGATCGTGGGCATTTCTCTCGCGTCGATTCAACCGCCGTTTGTCGTCAGCCGCTCGCAGAATCCACGATCCGATTCAAGGGAACCACGCGCGCTGACAAGATCGCTATTCGTGTTCAGGACGGACTAGAACCAAGACCGGGGAAGAGGCGAAACGGTTGTCCGTCCACGGCTCGGTAGTGTGTCGTATCTGGTGTGCAAACGGGACGGGTGTAGGACGAGACATAACGTGTTTCAATTTGTAAGTTTGGCGGAGATACAACCTTTTCCATCTCTTTTCTTTCCATCTCTATTTGTCGCACCTGCACCTTTCTCTCTTACTCCAACTACCACGCCCGTTTGAGAGAAAGAGCGATAGAGGGACGGAGGCGTGAAAGAGGGAGGGAGAGAGAGAGAGAGAGAGAGAGAAAGAGAGAGCGCGTGTGAGAGGAAGAGAAAGAATGAGCGAGTGAGAGCGACGGAGTGCTACATGAGCGCGAGCGCGGCCGAGCCTCGGCGGACCATTATCTCCTACTAGCTTCTATTTAATTAACATGTGTATAGAGATGGTTGCGTGGCGTGTTTTCCGTGCCATAATAGTGCCGGCCAATAGCGCGACGTTCAGCCAGTGACATCACGGATCGCGAGCGCCCCGATTGGCCGGCATTGCGTGCGTCGTCGACCATTCTAACGTGCGTGTCGCTTTGTCAATTTTTGGAGCTCGCGGTGCGGCGGGCACGCTCCCTCGGATATTTCGCGAGGACGCGTGTTTCTCGAGCTTCTCGTACGTGCACGGCTCTTACCACTGCCGTCGCCATCGAGGACAACAACGGTGACGACACGCAAATACTTCTGCTGTTGGCTAATCGTCGCAAATCATTCCGCTGCGCCGTGACACGCCGCTCCGCGCCATATCGCGCCATGCTATGCCATGCCACGCCACGCCACGCCGCTCCGCTCCGCTCCCCCGCCCTCCCCCTCCCCCTCCCCCTCGCCCTCCACTATTTTCGCGTACTGACCCCGCGCGTCTCCCACAGAGAACGCGATCGCGCGACGTTGACGTCTTACGCTTTCGCGATTTCGTCCACCTGCTTTCCAAATCAAATTTGAAGGCTTTATTCTATTCCGCTAATTTAACATTTTTCTATTTTTCTTTTTATCTTTCTCGTTTTTTTTATTAAAAAAAATTTTTTTTTTTAACATATAGTTTTCATCTTTGACAAGCTATTTATGGAAATTATTGTGTTTTAAACAACGCGTCGTTCAATCGTCTTTCGCGCTCTAATACATATCTATTCGGTGCTTTATACAGCAAACTTTTGCTACTTCGATATTTGCTATGGCACCGTTTATTATTTGCAAGGGATATCGATTTCTTTTGTTGCGAAGATTATATGATTACTAAAGTAAAGTCAGAAGACTCGCGAAAATGTCACAACAAAGAAATATAAGGATAACTATGAGCTATCAAGCGCTGTTATCGATGCGCAAACATTTTGATTTACGTACTTGTTTCATATTAAAAAACAAAAGTGCGTAATAAAACCGATTGCTTGATTTCTCGCGCCGATACAATACAATCGCGTTCGTTCCTGTGGCCGTTTTCGCGCACGCAAATGCCACGTAACAAGACGCCACCTCCAGTCTCCCCTTTCTTTTTTTTTTTCGCCACGCACGTTTGAGCGGCTGGAAGCAAGGTGATCCGCGAAGACTGTCGCGTAACGTTTGCACGATCTCGTGAATTGTCGATTTCCGATCAGCCGCGATATCGAATTTGCGCGCGCCTTTCTGGAACAGTGCGCCTTCATTTAATCGCGGTATCGAAGTATATAAAATACAATTGTACGGGACTCAATGTAAATTCTTTCATGAAGTGAAGAAAAGTAACAAATTTACGCACTGTTACACTTTGTAACTAGGTCCTTGATCGTTCGATGACTCCGCCGATTAAAAATAGGCGTTTGCGACGCGCTTGAAAAGTAATCTTTCGAATCCATATCTTTCTCGCGAGTACGATTATCTCGGAACAGCCTAGCTTCTTTTTTGAGCAGCCTGCTCGAATCTCGGCTCTGGCAACGTCCTGCCGTTCTGCGCTGCAGGAAAAACAGAGCTGCGATGCGCCTGCGCGACACGCTTCGTCTGATGCGCCGTGCAAGAGCGGCATGAGTGGGTGGTCTGCAGTGGGGATGGAAAGGCTTCCCGCGCGACTGCGTTACGTCACGCGTGTACGTCACATGACGTACGTCGTAGACACACCGGTCGTGTCCGCGACATCCACGACATCCTCTCAGATAAACCCGATAACGCTGCCCAGTTCAGCGAATTCTAGACAAAACGCGCGGTAAATGCCGATCAATCTCTCTCTCTCTCTCTC